ACTTGTAAAAACAGCAAGACTGTCAGACATAAAGGAAATGAATATACTACCAAAAACTACCCAGGGTGGGTAGGGTGGGAAAACTAGTAGATGCAGCTACTAAAGACTGTTTGCTAGCCGAGCTATATTGTACTAAGGTAAAGGCTGTCTTAGTCCCAGTACCCCCATATTTGATATTTACAACAGCATCACAACCCTGATGCCTACCCTTTAAAATCAGAACTCATCAGACCAGTTTGCAAACTGTTCTGTAATGAATCAAGGAATACAAAGATGGCTAAATCTTTTGATTTTAATGGATAACTAACATTGAAATTGGTATGCACCTAAATGAATAGAAGGAAACATTAAACGTCAATGCTGTGACATATGCAAGTTATTTCCTTACCTGAACTCACGTGCTACAGCTATACATTGGACACGACAAATGAGAAGCCAGAATGCTTTCTATTTCTTGTAGTAAAATTTGCGAATGACACTGAGCAAGTTGTTATTAGTAATGATATGGTTACATTGAAATATATTTCTACATTGAAAATTGATTTCAGTAAACCTAGAGGGAAAGTTTTTTACACTCAGCCCATAAAATGGCCAGTTGCTTAATCTCTAGGTCCCCTGCCCCTCTTCAAACCCAAACTTAAAGCATCTCATTAACAACACCCACAAGCTCAACATATTTAGAGATTCGTTCACTCCTTGTTAGGTTTGTGGGTACTAGGGAGTGAAGGTAACCCAGCTGATCTTCACTCAAAGGTATGTTACTGCTGGGAACAATCACCTCTTGGTCCTCTTCTGAAACAGAAATGGCATCCTCTTCATCTACCCCCACCAAATTAATTCTTCCTCTGATAAAATACCATCCAGAGGTGAGTTCCTGCCATTTGCAGATCTTAGAATACCCTCAGTCCAAAGCTGAAGAGGAGATGAGCCACCTTCTGTGCTAAGGCCATGGTAATTCCACTGCCTGGTAAATTCATCCAGAGATTTCTTAATTTCCTGCAGAAATACAAGGTGAAGTGACAGTAAATGGACTTCATTGATAGGGTCTAATAGACCAGATCTTTCCATCGTGTTGAACTCGTCTATATAGCTTCTAAGAACACCACTGGTCACATCTCTATGAAGCCGTTCGACTCTTTGATTGTGCACTGAACTTCCAGTTATCATGCTCCCTCTGTTGACTCCCCGACACTCCAACATCATTCGGGCTACACCCATGTTTTCGAGACCATGGTCACTCCTAACCCTTGAAGGCATTCCATAACTTTGGCAGGCATTCTGAAATAGTGCAAGTACTGTATCGGATCTGTTGTTGTTTGCACAGTGCAGATATAGTATCAACCTAGAATATCCATCAATAGCAGTATGTACCACAGGCCGCCAGCGTATCATCTTATGGTTCCCATCGATGTGCCACATTGCATTTGGACCTCGTACATTGTACTTTCTTCGACAAATAGTTCCTCTCCACCGAAGTGCTGTTCCAACTGGATCCAACTCACGCATAAGTTCCCTGACTTTCCATCACTGCACTCTTATTCCCCTGCTATGTAATGCACCTATCATTCTGGTTTGACCAATCCCAGGGGTAACAGTCATTATTTCTTGCATGATTTCTCTTAGTTCTCCATTCCTAAGTGAAGACCAGTTAACCTCCCCCTCGTCCTCAATGTGAGACTCTTGCCGTCTTCTAGTTAGAGTTTTTGTAGAAATTCCGAGTAGTTCCGCTATTCTGACCCAAGGAAAGTGCAACTCTCGAAGAAATTGTATTTGCCTTTTAGAAACTTTAAATTTTGGCTGACCTCTTGTACCTGTGTAGTTCCTTTCGCATTGGTGAGCTGGCACATTCAATGTGCTTTCACTTAAATCATCTGCTATATTCTCAAAATATACTCGGAGTCTTGTCAAGTATAAGGACAGCTGATCCATGTTGCTATAAAAGTTTCCCATTTCCAAATCACGATCCGCGCTAGCGAGTTCGGCAGCCTTCTCTTTCAAAATAAAAACAGTTTCTCCAGCCTCAGACAGCCTTTCGTGTAACATTTCCATTTCATCTATGTTTTCAATAGATGGAAATATAGAAATGTATTGTTCCGCTTCTGCAAGAACTGCTTTTGTCCTTTGAAAAAAGGATATAAGTCGATTCTCTGATCCCGCTATACCACCAAGGGCCGCCATTTTGGTTTACCGCCAGTGGCCGATAGGGATCTGGGTAGCGGCATTGCTTAAAGCGCGCGGTGCATCATACCATACGAAATGAAAAGTTGAGCATGCTAATTTTTTTCAGAGAACACTGCAAATTTAGGGGTTGAAAACAGGCTGTATTTATTTATTGCGGGCTATTTATCTGGAGTTTAGCACGATTATATGACAATGGCCATATAGAACAGAAGTAGATACACCATATTTATTTGGAGTTTAGCATGTTTATATGACAATGAGCATATCAAACTGGAGTTTAGCACATATATCAAAGGTTTGCAATAATGTCCAGTATGGCGCCCCATAGATTTACGCCTCTTCTAAAGCTCTTTCAATGATATAAGTTTGACTTTGAAATTAAAAACTGCATTTAACTCATTTTGGTAACGTCAGCCGTTGTGACATCACAATTTGACATTTTGTGTGAGACAACAGCTAACTAACTAACTTGGTCAAAAATCGCTCTATCTGGCAAGTTTGGTCAAGAAATGAAAAGAAATGTAAAAGATACGCCATGAAATAGACTATATATATAGATGTTCTTCTGTTCGTCTGGTTTTTGGGATCGATTCCCACTGTTTCCTCATGTCCAGTTCGACGGGGAAGGGTGTGGGGATGGAGAGCTCATTTTTCGACCAGTATCCAGGAAACGACGCAGTCTATCTGTGTTTACAATAACTAACAAAACTGCTTGACAGAACAAATGTTTGCGTTCTATAGGCTTTGAGAATTTATCATGGATTTGACCTTTTTTGGACACTTCAGTTGACGAAAGAATACACCAAATCGATATATTTAAATTCAGAATGTTAACGAGTTTTTGAGGATACAAACAAAGAAAATGACTAAACGTAAAACTCGCTATCATGTTGAATTGTAATACATCGAAAGTGGCTTTTTGCAGCGCGTCACCTTTAGGGAAAGACAAAACCTGCTCACGAGAGCATGCGCGCGCTGTTCGTTTTCCCTGCCTTGGTTCTCACGCACTCTGCGGTCTCTTGGAGGGCCAGTTTTGACTGAAGTATAAAGCCTAAGCTTTTAATTTATCCATCTTATAGCCACGGAATCAGCAATTCCTCGGGGTCAATGTAATTAATTCTCTCAGTAGGGTCAAAGTGTAAGTGCAGCATTTACCACCTGTGACCCTTACGTGCTCCTTGCAATATATATATATATATATATATATTTTCAATTTTTTTTTTTTTCATTTCTCCCGTGTAAATTTGATGTTCCCTCTTGTGCAGATGAGGTGTCACTGGCCTAGGTTTAAAGGTTTGTGAGACGAACTGCCAGCTTCCTTGTCAATTCCCTACAGCCGCATTTTAATTTTCAAACTCGCGCTTGCTGCGCAGGCTAACTAATTTTCGAATAAAATATAACTACAAATGCTGCATATGAAAAGTATAATATTATTTAAATAAAAATGAAAACGCAGTCTGGTAGACCTAAACTGTAGGATGAAAAAGCGACCTGGGGTTCTTATCATTTCAGGACTTTGCCGAACGTTGAATTTACTTGTGTGCAAGAGAGGGTAATTCCAATTTATTAGTGCTTCCCTGATTTTATAATCCGCCCCCACCTTCCCAAAATAAAATTAGAACTACGAGCTAAGAGTAAAATGCTTGGTTATTTTTGTTTCTAAAGAAATTGCAATAGAAAGAGGATGATTTAATAGGTAGCTGTTGGACGTTACGTCTACCAATTTCTTACTTTTCGCATTCATATCAGTTAGCTTATTAAACGCAATGTCCTGACTCTTGCACTTCAATACAATCTAATGGTCAAATTTATCTTTACAAGTATATGGAAAATTTATGCTTGGAGTAAGTGTCAAGCACATAAATTTTGTCGCGCGAGGAAGAAATGGGGAAAAATGGCATGAGGTGTAAATCACGGAATTAAAGGTCAAAAATTTCCTTGGCGCTGACAGAGTGGAGTGCAAAAAAGCTATTAAAATAAGCCCATGCCTTAAGGTTCACACCGTTAGCTGTGGCAATTATTTCTCTCGTTGTGATTAAGCATGTAGCATGCATGCAGTGATTAAATCAAGAAATAGACGCTTATTATTTTTTACTTGTTGAATTGTTGCTTAGTCAGGAATTAGGAGGGAGGATTATTTGTTATAGACAGTGTTTTCTTATGTTGGGTTTCAACGTAGGCAAATGGTGTCTTTCGTTCGATGCAGGAGTTATTGTTGTTTTGTATTTCCTATGTATCATTACTCTTCTTGAGATGTCGAAGGGAGGTAGGTGCCTCTCAAACGTTTGTTCCGAATCAATACATGTACGTAGGTTATTATAGCTAAACTTTTTCCTTACAACTAGATCTAGAGGAAAAGTATAGACCTAGGGCCGGTTGCTCGAAGCCTGGTTAGCGCTAACCGTTTGTTAAGAGGTATCAAAATGTATAGGTTTCCATGCTATTTAACGCTGGTTAGCACTAACCATGCTTCGAGCAACCCGGGCCTGTGCTTTATTTTAATTTAAAACATTTTCTTCCGAGTGTACGTACACCACTTGCGAAAACATGAAAAAAAAAATTCCATGGTCAAAGTTTCGCTGGTCTAAAAGCTTATAACAAGTTTTGTCGCAAAGGCAAAGACGTTTAGACGACAAAATGTGATCGCTATTAATGAAGAAGAAGGGCCTGCCTTTTGAAATAAGCAAAGAACACAGCTCATTATTTCATCTAGAGATCCTTAACGCTTAGAAACTAAGACAGTTAGCAAGTATATTCTATATTCTAATAAGTTCAGCTTTCATTAAGAGGGGTGTCGAAAAATCGAATTTGGGGAGCGGATGGAAAATAAATCCTTTGGGAACAGTCCCTTCAAGAGATACCAAGGCACTGATGAAGAAATTTGCGAGATTCGCTGTTATTTGGAGCCTTCCTGTGTGGCTTACAGTTATGGACCAGTTAACGATGAATCATCAGTTTGTGAAATGAGTGACTCTCAGCCGTCATTCGGGGAGCTCCAATCAAGAAATGGTTTTATTTACCGTTCCATACATATGGTAAGAAAGTTGAAGGCAGTTTATAATTGCTTCTCTTATTATAAGAATTCAGTAAAATGCTTCAATTCATATTCTGATCGGTATAGATAATGACTCTTCCAAAAATGTCACACAGTAAAAACCAAAACGAAAACACCTTATATTGCATCCCACTTTGGAAAGAAACGGAATAAAAACCGGGGGGGGGGGGGTCTTTACAGACCCTCACTCAAGCTAAGTCTCCATGGCAAAAAAATGTAAACAGTGATGTTCTGCCGAATATTCAATTTTTCTTTTGAGATGTCATGTAGTTTTAGATTTCCTATATGTAGTTGAAGCATTGCCTTTAAGTATTCGTCCCTCAGATTTATAGTAACTCGATGTAAAGATAAAAGGGATAAAAACATGGATTTAAATGGCAAAAGTAAATATGATGAGTTCAATTTATGAAAATGTTGAATTTCAGCGTACGTTATTTTAAATATAATTTTATGAATAACATTCATTTGAAATTATTAAGGTTTCCAGCAGTGCTATTAGCACAAGGCAATTTAAAAAAATAAATATTGCATGTTTGATCTAAAATATCATTGATCGTGAATGTAAAGTAGGAGACTATAAAACTACTGTAAAACGTTTTTATTGTATTTTATTTATTTCATTTTTTTAGAATCCCTGTTTAAGTAGCCCGTGTGAAAGCAACGCCACCTGCCTAGCAGGATTTGGTGATCATGGATACTGGTGTTTCTGCCCAGCAGGCTTCCATGGAAATAATTGTCATCTTGGTACAAGAATTTTTTTTTTCCTTAACGCCTAATTCACTAAATAAATACTGATGGTTTTCACAGTGACATCATCAAATTGCAAAATCAAAATAACGAGGTTGAAGATAATAACACTAGGTTGAAGATAATTTAAAAAATTTAAATAAACATTTGTAGTTTCCAGCCCCGAAGCATGTTTCATTTCAAAAGTATAGCAATTTGAACTTCCGAGTTTACACAGTGCGTGACACCAAAAAATGAAAGCTGCCTCGTTGCGCCCCCCTTGCAAAAAAGGCTCTCCTCTTGATTTTCAGCAGTTTAATCATTTCAAGTATTAAAGGATATGCTCGCGCACGTATGCTAGCTCTCGAGTGAAAAGAAAGAGCTTAAGCACTGAAACACTTCTCATCTTTCCTCTTCAAAAAGTTGAGGTCATCTTATTGATATATTGATCTTATTATTATTTTTTAAAATTTGAACAAAAGTAATATTACTCGGATTTTTTATTTTTTTATTACTCCTTAACCATACTTGATATGATTGGTTTGGTCATTTCTCTTACTGTGAATACAGTGAATCATTTCTATGAGACTGGATAGGTGGGACTGGAAACTGTCGATCTTTGAGAAGTGTTACTATTATAGTGATTCACAGCCCGAGTCACACTCCCCCTGTGAGTCCTCCTTATACGGCCAGGTGTCTGCTTGAAAGAGATTTGACTTACCGACAAAATTCTTTCTGAGAAAAAAAATGACGTAAAATAAGTTAAACTGTTTCCACAATTTACATTCCCCTCTTGTGGATACGTAACAAATGTTATTTTACGCAACCTGAGAAGACACTTCACAACGCTGATGAACTTTCAGTGATTCGGGCGAAATATTTGTCTGCTTGTTTGTTTGTTTGTTTTTTTTTGTTTTGTCTGTGTTTGAGAATTTGTGATGCTAAATGTTTCTACAGATCTAGATGAATGCAACAATCCAAGTGCTAACAACTGCTCGTCTAGAGCGGACTGTGCTAACACACGTGGTTCTTTCGAATGTAAATGCAGAAGTGGTTACAGGGGCGATGGTGTGAATTGTGAAGGTAAACTCAGTACATCACTCAAAACTTTTGACCGCGATCAGAGGTACGTAGAGAAGTCATGAGAAAATCAAGTTTCTCTTGACGTTGTATGTCTTTACTTTACCACAAGGGATCGAAATTAGGATGTTAGTCACGTAACGGAGAGGCCGGAACACTGACTGGGTCACCGAAATAATAGTGAAGACAACCGAAAAGGAAGTGTTAGTTTTGGTTGCAAAAATTTGTTTATACTACCTTAACTTATTAACTACCAATAGCCATGCTTGGGGGTCCATGAGCGCACAGAAAGAAAGCCAGCAAGGGAGGTAGTGCTAAATTCATTGGCCATAATCATCCCATGCATGTACTATAAGCGAATTCATCTCTTCATATACTTAAACTATGCCAAGAAACTGGCAAATCTTTTGAAATCATTGAATTGATTTTCCCTTACATGTTTGCACGTCTACTCATCCGTTGGTCCCTAAGACTGAGGTAAACTGTATTTATGACTGCACAGATATTGATGAATGTGCGGAAAATTCTGGGAATTGTCATTCTAATGCTACTTGTACCAACACCATCGGCGACTTCCAGTGTAAATGTAATGGTGGGTTTGTGGGAAACAGAACAAGTTGCACAGGTAAGTTCAATGAAACTAAAATGACACCTCTGAGTATTATCATCCTGGTCAAATACTGGAAAGGAAAATCTTGGGAAAAGATGTAGAAAATATATATTAATACATATGCAAACATTGCTGCTTAGATTATTAAATTAGCCAATATTAAAACGAAAAGTGCGACTACTACCTTTTTTCCTCCTCCGTTCCTTGTCCGTCCTTCCTCCATACTCCCCCCACCTTTGCTCTTCTTTACCGCATTTGGTTTGATTTTTAGGCTTTCTAGCTGAAGTGCGAATTGTCATCTCTCTTCTATTCTGGACAAGCTACGTTAAAATATTTGTTATATGTACTGTATATATGAAATACAGTTTCCTTGTGCATTCTCTGTCATTTTGTTTTGTTTTGTTTTGTTTCATCGACTCTATTTATATCAGCCGTTTTTAAGAAAATATCAATTTAGCTTCCGGTTCAAAATGGCCGCCACTTCGAAACCCCTCTTAATCGCACTTAACAGAATTTTGGCGATGGTACTATGATATCCCATCTTTTTAACGCCTTGAAAACTATCATCATGCCAAATGTTGTACTTATTGTATCAGAAAAAGAAACTATAACGGCCATTTCGTCCTCTTTCAATAAAGTCCAGGTACATCAAATATTACACACCCTGACGTCTACAAAAGGAAATAAGACATTCATCATTTATTTCAGTGCCGTTTTTTTTTTTTTTTTTTTTTTTTACCGTTCATAGATATCGATGAATGTACAGCACAATCTCACGACTGTTCTCCAAATAGCATGTGCACCAATGTGGAAGGATCATTTCAATGTTCATGCATACCGGGATTTGAGGGAGATGGCAAAACATGCATTGGTAGGTTTAAAAAATATATTGAATTTAAAAAAAAAAACTTTCCCCTAAAGATGATGGTTTACTATTTTTTTTTCATTATTTAATTATTTTTTTTGAAGTTTTTGTTCATTCTTGATTAAACACGGCGAGTGAACGTTGGACAAAACAAGTTGTAATGCATTATGACATTTATGCATAATTTATAACACCTGCACTAGCTCCTTGAATGTCCTGAATTGCTAGTATTTTCCGCATTAAAGTCATGAATGAAAGTCAAGACAGCGAGTGGACTCTAAAGCAAAAGCTTCTATGAGCATGGAAAACCATAATATAAAGTAAGCGTAACTGACAAAATATTCTTCTCCAACATGTTCCTATAAGCGCAATGCTCTAACATAAGTAAGTACTGAGATTACTAATTTAGAATGCGGCTACAGTGCTCGCCACATGCATTCCAGCAATGGTTCAATTTCTAAGTAATGGTTTCAGAGAGAAAATGCTCGTGTTTTATTGATGGTCTTTAGTAGATTTACCTTTATCAACTTCTATAGATATCGATGAGTGCATATCACAACCTCACGACTGTTCTCCAGATGGCATTTGCACCAATTTGGAAGGATCATTTCAATGTTCATGTCCATCAGGTCTTACAGGAGATGGGAAAAACTGTTATGGTAGGTTAGACAAAAGAAAAGCATTTCATAGAAATCAGACCTTTCTTTTACAAGTAACTAAAGTTTCCTTGTCGGTGCCTTTAAGTAGTAGCAGCCTCGCTTGTGCGCAAATTGTCAAAATTACTATATTGTCAAATGATTAGACATTTTTGCTGCAAAATTGCTGCTGTGAAAATGGTTTCGAGCCAAAGGTTCGGGGTAAAATTAAGGAAAGTGGAGAAATCTTCGACTTCAGTTTTCTCCAGTGTTTACCCAAAACATAAGAATGGAGGAGATATTACAAAGTACTGAAATTAAATGGCGATTTCCAATACACCAATTTCGTTACATGTATAATGAAATTCAAACTGGTTTCCCAGGCTCTGCAAGAAAAATAAAGCAGAAAAAAGTATATATATATATATTATTCATCAGTCAACCTCGTGGTTATGTTTTATGTCTCCGGTCCCGTAAGTCTCGGAGCCAAGAGAAACATTTGATATATTTGATACTGCCGATGAATTTATGGCATTTATCACTGATGGAATGTATATCACAGATTTTGATTAACAAGACAAGCGTCTGATTTTGCTTTCCTAAAATAAATGTACTGTAACTATAACTGTAACTGTACCTATATTTTCCCATACAGTTTGTTTGTCACTGTTGTCCATAGAAATATGAATGAAATAATGATGATAATAATAATTATAATTATAATTCTTATTATTATTATTATTATTATTATTATTTTTATTATTATTCCCATTTCCTGGAAACTGTCTTCAAATTATATCAGGATAAGAATTTCAACAAACATTGACTGCTTATTTGTGTTAATCAAAAAAAAAGTTTTTTTTTCTTTTGCCGAATAAACTAAACTTTTGCCAATCAAAAAAAAAAAAAAAAAATATGTGAATCAAACGTGAAATTGGGGTGTTTTTTTGTTTGTTTGTTCAATTAACCCTTATTTTTTTTATTTGTGTGGGTGTTTTTTTTCATAGCGAATTATATGCATGGCATTCACTTTTCAGACCGAAACCATTATTCTTGAATAATTAACAAATTTCCTGTCATCTATAGATGTTGATGAATGTGCAGATAATTCCGACAACTGCCACTCTGATGCGAACTGTATCAACACTGTTGGTGAATTTAAGTGTCAGTGTAAATCAGGTTTCACGGGAAATGGTACAAGCTGTTCATGTAAGAAATAAACATTGTCGGTGTTGCATCATAGTTTTCAGTTGACTCCCGAACTCGAACTCTCGCTAACTCAAACCCCGGGCTAACTCGAACCAAAGTCGATTTCCCTTGGATTCCCTTCCTACATTTACTGTAATTTTACCCTCGGTAACTTGAACCCTCATTAACTCGAACCTCCCGCTAACTCGAAGCTAAGTTTAAAGGGAGTGACAATTCAACAACAAAAACATTGTACCGAAGTCCGAAACACTAAAAACAAAACAACTGTGTCAATTCTTTGTACTTCCTTTTATGTCACTCCAGTTCAAATTAAGTGTCCATGGCTTTAAATTGTATAATTAATCAAGCTTTCTCGTTTATTTTTTTTTTTTTCAGTAAGTATCAATCTATCTCTCTTGCTCCCCTTGAAGTGAAGTGTGGAGGATACTTGCGTTCGCTCACTATCCATTTGCTTATTTCCTTAATTATATTATTTCCGGTCACTTGCCCCAAACTTCAGATAACTCGAACCTTTTTCGATTTCCCTAGAAGGTTCGAGTTATTGGGAGTCCACTGTACTTATAATTAGGGAAGGACCTTTAGAAAAGTTTAAGGAGGTGGTGAGTTTAAGCTCAAAGGGATGAAAATTGCAGAACTAGTTTAAAAGAGACCGACCTTTTGCTTGTAGACGGGGCGTGTAAGGATTTTTTTTTTGTTTTCTCTCCCCTTTACCCTTCTAATGGCCCTTTCCTTATTACAAAACGGCCATCTTGAGGACAGGTAGAGATAAACGCCGTTGCGGAGAGATATTTAAAGCCAATTTACTTGAAATGATACACAAAAATTTACGGTGACGGTCAATGATAAACTTGGTGTACATTGACTGTGTTTGGTCATAACACAATAAACATTTTTGAAAATTTTCAGTTGTTCATGGTCTTATCAGTTTTAGAGTAAACGCTTTAAACGTACGGATAATAAAATCAATTATGGTCATCCTATAAAAGTGTAATCATTCTTCATTTTACAGAATACCAGAAAATACGGAAACTTCGATTTCAAAAATGCTTGAACTTCTATGGAAAAGGAAAATTGACAAGCAAAAAGAAAAAAAGACTGCGACAAATTAAATTCCGAGAGAAATGAACATTACTGCAAATTCACTTTATTCACTTTTGGAATGCGTTCGATTGATCGTATCCCGGAATAACATTACGCAGAAGTCCTGTTTAAAATTAATATGTTGTACCGAGATGTTTTAAGCAGATTTTTAGCTATTGCAAAGCTATAAACACTAAAATGAGTGAATTCTAGAATGTGTTTATTTTATTCTTATTCCAGAATACGTTGGCCACGTTGGGAGTTGTAATAATATAGTTAGTTGACATACAATAACATAGCTATTAAACGTCGTTTTTGCCGCTCATACGATAAAATACATATATATATTTTTAGTTTCCTGTTTCGACAATCCCATTGGTGTTGCTGATTCTAGTATTATCCCTGACAATCAGATGACAGCAAGTACAACATATAAACGCTACCTTGCCTATCACGGTCGACTACATTACGGAAACAGTGCCTGGTGTGCAGAAGAGTCCGACGATGACGATTGGTTTCAAATTGATCTGGGAACAACATATCAAATATGTGGTGCTGCTACCCAAGGAAATGGAGATCCGTCCCAAAACGAGTACGTAACGAAATTTATGCTGTCGTACTCCTACGATGGAAGCAGCAGCTGGTCTAAGTATACGAGTACTGGAGGCTCAAAAAAGGTAGGTAAAAAGGGTGTTAGTTTCTAGATGTATGACTACTGCTATTACTACCTAAGGCTGGCTATGGGCAGTAGGTGAATCTTGTCTCTTGCTTTTAGAGAAAACTGGCTTAACTTATCTGCAAGGGATTCCCCCCTTCCTAAGTCCCGCGAAAAAAGGAAAGGGTCGACTTGCCAGTTGCACGTTTACAACTATTGAAGTCAGATGTGTATGTATAATACACTCAGGAACATTGTATGACAGAGCTCGTTTAATCTCCGCCCCATAAAACGTTGAAAAAGAGGGCAATTTTCGGCCATCTTGGCAATGTTCGACCACAGTAAAGCATTTGTCATAATAGCTACTGTTTAACAAATCCTCTTAATGATGTTCAACTGGTTAAGCTTTTTCTGCCAAGGTGGCTGAATTACGCTAAATCTGGACACTTTGCGTTAATTGCAGGAATTTCGCAGGAATGGTGACAAAAACACAGTTGATGAACACCCTTTGCCATCGCCACTGTCCACACGATACATCCGCTTTTATCCAACGGATCAAGTTGAGTGGAACTGCTTGAGAGTGGAGCTGTACGGTACCAAAGCACTCCTTCAAAATGATCTTAGCTTAGCTAACTAACGGAGGACTTACACGTATATAGAACAGCCTTGCCCAGGGAGAGAGTATCCTGGGAATCAGTTCGGCATTAGTATCTACTTTTACAACAACACTGCTTAAGAGCGACAGTCGGGAAAAATCGAGCAAAATCTTGATTTCGTAGCAAGATTCGAAAAATCAATTTCTTTCATTTTTTTGTCCATAGATAGCTTTGAGGTAGATAAGAAACCTGATAAAGATTGTTCCGGCCGTAGGTCTTTTATTTGTGAGAACAATTACATCGGTTTTCGATGTCGGAGTCGCGGACTGCCCTAATTTTAAACATGAAATTCGCGGTATAGTAACATCAAGTTTCCTCGCGTTTGCAAACGAAGCCGCATGGAGAAATTTGGACACTTTCTATGGACAGAAACATTATTTTTCTGTCACTAGAACATACGTTTAGGGCAATAGCGAGGCTCGTCGCTCTGAAATAATTCAATAAAGTAGAATAGGTTTTCAGGATAACAAAAACTTAAGTTCGGTGGTTTAACTCCAAATTTCTTCATGCTACTTGCAAAATCAAACAGGCATTTATTCAAAACATACCTGGGAATTGGCTCGCCTTGGGTTATTGAAAGAAATATCTGTAAACACCATCGAAGTTCAGGAATTCATGGTAGGCCAGCGATAATTGTGTCAGCACTTCCAATCTCAAAACGCAAAAAAAGTAGGTATCACGGGGGTCGGTTGCTAGGGCTTTTGCTCCCACACCTCTCAAAACGGAGAGTTTTAGTCCAATCCAGAAGTAGAATGCATCAAATGTAACGAAACTTGGCAGGGAAGTAGGTCGATAAATTCAAATTTCCCGCCAAATGACCATGTATGGTCAAACTTTAGGGGTATTTAAACGCGAAAACAATGAATGTAGTCGCAACGAGAAAAGACAATTTTGCATAAAAACAAAATTGTAGTTTTTTCAATTTAGGATGTGTGGTCTATGACGCGTATTTCGTCACAAATTTCGTCATTTTTACGTCTTAATGAAGTAATTTGTGACGAAATACGCGTCATAGTATCACATATGCCGAATAAAAAAACAAACTACAGTTTTGACTTTATGCAGCTTTGTCTTTAATCCGTTGCAAATACATTCATTGTTTTCGCGTTAAAAAAACCCTGTGATATGTTTGAATATGTTTGAATATGTAGATTTTCTTCATTTTGATTTCAGAGGAATTTGAGGCACTAATATATAGACTTAGCCAGGGTTAAGGCGAGGCTCCATTAATAAGTTTATAATTTAAATCAAACAATAAACCTGTATTCCACAATTCAGTTAACTAATTTAAAGCACATATGGCGGAGACTTTAAACCAAATATGGCGGAGAACGCAGATATGGAGGGACGATGAGTTTTTACTCGGTTTTGAGTTTTCTTGCGTCCAAACATCTGTAGAAGGACTAAATGTAATAAACGACCCTAAATGTAATAAAGTCCTTAATGTAACATCATTTTGTCCTAAATATAATGAACTGTTAAGTTGCAAATTACAGTAATTACTCAAGTAAGCGCCGCAAAAGGGGGTTTAATAACCGCCGCGGCGCCTGTTCGCGTACATACGGTACTAAGAGGTATTACTATGTGCTGCCCTAAAATAAGCGCCACATCTTTGGAGAAAAAAAAATAAGCTTCGGTACATTTTCTTATGCACTGTAAACTTGATGTTTACAAAAAAATTGCTTGTAAAAAGGGACAAAATAAAAAAAAAAACTTGTAAGCCTTAAAAAGTTTTTCATACTTCATTTTTGTTAGAGAAATTTACTACAAAACCTGTGGACGAAGATCCTGTTGCTTGTCAACGTTGGATCTCTAGAAAACAGATCTCATCAGCTAAAATATTAAGAACAAAAAACGATCTCTAAGGGCCTGTTTACATGGAGGTGGGGGACCCCAGGTAGGTGAGGTAACCCGGGTAATCCGCCTGTCCACACAATCTCTTATTTTACTTTATCTCACCTCACCTATCTGGGGTCCCCCACCTCCATGTAAACAGGCCCTAAAGATCACCGTCGATTAATTGGGCCTGGAAAAAAAAAATTAGGCCGAATTTTTTGCGTTCGACAAGTTTACTTTACAAAATCTTGCCAACAAATTTGGGTGCGTGTAAACCAACCTTTTATACCATTTATACATCACATCTGAGGTGAAACAGTACTATGAGGCACTGTTTTTTATCATACAGACCTTGGAAAGAATGCAGTATTTCACAATTTTGCAGTACAAATTGCACTCCGTGTTCAATATTCAGGCGATCGAAGCACCCGTGGGCTTTAGCAAAACTGTTAAAGCAATAGACCTCGTCACTGTTTTCGACGCCATCTTGACGAGTTGACAAACGTGTGATAAATTACAGTGATTGTATGAGAATATAATGTCGAATAATTTCCGTAGAACGGCTGTTCTGAAAAAATATGATTTGTAAACTAAAGCTTCACTCCTAAGGATTCTCCTGAAAAAATTTGAGGGCGTTACATGCACTAAAAGACCTAGAACCACTTTTTAAAATTGTCTATACATTTGTCTGTAAGAAAGTCCCGGGAAAATTACAGACAAATATATGGAAAATCTAAAGCAAGCCTTTGGAGAAATTTAAGCACAGGTACGCCCCCATATTTTTTAGGACAATCCTTAGCCTGCGTAGCAAGCGTTTCCGTGCTGTTTCGAGAGTCAAAGGCCGCGCAACAAAGACATAGTAATCAAACCTTTCTTTGTAGCAATCGGCTGGAGCTATATCCATGAACTTTTCACACACGTTTTTAGAAAGATTGAAACTACTATGAGGTGAAATTGCATGTCAAAAGCGCTACGTCTTCTGCAGATAACGGCCAAACATCAAGATTGTCCATTTTTACTGTGTTTCTAACCATAAAACCTTCATCCAAAATATCTCGATAACGCTCCTACAGATTTCGCTTAAACTTCAGGAACATCGAGGCCGCTATTGGAGGATAAAGCTCCCGTGAACGATTTTGAAAGAACAGTTCCCAGTGCCGAGAAATACTGCTGCAAGTACAATAGGTTAAAACTTCATTTCGTTGCTATGACAACTCCGATGTGATTGCAACCCTGATCCGAACAAATTTTCATCTTTATCCAATACTACTGTGGTGGCAGTTTTTCCAAATCTTTATTTATGGCGACGTACTTTATGCCCAGACTTGGGAGGTATTGACACCTTAATGTAAATAAAAGTCACTGGACCAGTTAGTTTCATCCATTTTTCTTTTCCAGTTGAAGCTGGCATCTTACCTGGACACTATTTTGCCACTGATTTTGATTGATTATCATGTGCTATGTGGTCAAATTTCACCTGCTAGTGATATTTGCTAATTGATTTTCATTGGTTCTTTAACTGTCCGATTTGACCTGTGTTGTCATAAGCTCCTGGTGAACGGACAGGTCAAATCGGACAGTTTTGGAGTTACAGTAGCAAAATTAAGCTACAAATATGGGCAGTTAAGAACCAGTCAGATTCAAGAATTTTGTTATTGACACAATCATAAGGAATAAGAGTACAGTGCAACAACGATAGTTTTTTATCTTTTTTTTTTTTTACCCGTTAATCAAAAAGACAGGCTTGAAATGAACCTTTACAAATTGATGAGCCTTTACAAAGGCTTCGCGTATCTCTTCTACCTCGAATCTCTCAGAGTAGTGCATGACATGGTGATCATGCACTGCGAGGTCAGATTATCGCTCCACTGTTGACCTAGAGCAGGTTTTGATTCTTTTCATCAGTAAAAAAACGCTCAGCTTCTGCGCTTGTGATCAGTAGGGTACAGGCAACGACGAGAAGGTGATAGATGTTGGGAAAGCATTTTCATCGCAAACGCCAAGTGCTAAAATAAAAGGTTGTTTGGAAGCTCCCTATCTGTTGACAACCAGAAATGGAATGTCTTTCTCCCAGAACAGTATGCATTTTACTTCATCCGACCCAGCTGCAGTGCCTTATTTACTAAAATCGATGGCACGAGACAAAGAAGAATCGATCTTGCATTCGGATAATTGAGGAGTCAAGAAGGGGAATAGCTACAGTCTTCTTGTAATGATCGATTGGACTGGAACTTATATTATAACTTATGATATCATTTTTGATATCGAAAACTTCCCAAAGGAGGGTTACAACCCCCTCAAACCTAACTAAACAGAGATGGAATGACAAATAATCGTGAGGCTTGTGATGGTAATCGGTTATGTAAAACGGAATGTCCGTAGGAAAACTGAGCAGAGCACATTGAGGATGGAAAGACGAAAACTATCCTAGAAATTCAAGGAGTTCAATAAGCTACTCTTAATCCGAGAGGCCAGCACCTGACAGTCCATCATGAGCCACATTCAGGCCACTTCTCAGTCAAGGCCCAGGCCCAGTTGTTCTAAGGTTTATTAGAACCCACACGGGGATAAATTTTTAAATAATTTGGTTTCCTTTTTCATTCGTTCAAAAAGATTTTCACACTTAATGTGCTCTTCTTTTTAGAGCATCCAATCATCAAATTGCAGACAAAAAGAACTTTTAAAGTGAATTTGTTTATAAGATTTCCTATCTCAACTCAACGTTTTCATAAACCAGCATTACACAACCTGGCCTGACCTTGTTTATATGAATTCATATGAATTTAATGAGAAAGAGAGTGGAGATAATAGAAAAGTATATGTTATTAGTAGTATGAGGCTACCTTCCACAGAAGATAATCAACTGTGGCATTTTTTTGTCTTAATAGGGTAGCTTAATTTATCATATACATCCAGGGTGCAAAGAAAGTCAGTTTTATAGCCTGCCATTCTGGCAAGCTGTAGCTACCCCGTACTAGCCCACAAGTCATTTCAACTAGCCCCAAAACCCTTTTTGATTAGCAGGATTGATTACAATCCTTCGGTAATTTGAATTTCTCCAAAAAACAGCACTTGCCCATCAGGCAAGTTAAGAACAAAAATCACTAGCCCAATAGCAAAATCCACTAGCCCCGGGCTATCGGACACAACTTTCCTTGCAGGCTGACATCACATAAAAGTACCAACTTTGCTTTTCAAAGACAAAAGAAAACTTTTCAATGACTCTTTCGAAGATGTGAAGCCAAAAGAAAATCAGGCTTAGGTTTACCTTCTTGTTTATTTGCAATGTTCATTTAAGAAATCTTTGACCAGAGGAAAAGTTGTGATAATCAAAAAGTTGGTTAATTGAGGTCCAGATAATCAAGGTTTAACTGTTGGCTTAAATGTCCAAAGTCCATTATTTGTTTATAGATTTTAATAACAGAACATGTTATGGATTTTCTAAGAGCTTATATAAATGTAACTTGGAATATTTGGTTAACTGTGCAAACATTGAAGAGTGCAAATGGTATAGTCTTTGATTACTTTGCAAATTCTCAAGCTATCAATAAGATGCGTGTACAAAAATATATTATGATATGTGAAATTTTTGCTGTTTACCAAATTCTAGTCAAGTCTTTGTAGCATTATTGATTAATGACAAATGTACATTAAACCCTCTGGCAGTCACTCCAGAAGTCAGCTATTTCATTAGTTTTGTTACCTTTGGCAAGTATCAATAGCCCACCAAACAAACCTTGGCAATTGTGAGGCATTTGCTTTTTGTCATTGGTATTTCCTAAAGTGCATTTAGATATATTTTTAATATAAGAAATAAGAATATTTTGTCTGGACAGTCAACTCTCTTTAAGATGGACACCTTTGGGACCAGCACTACTGATTCAGTATATCCGTCTTAAAGAGATCCAAATAGAGTGAGTTATAAAGAGAAACAGGGACCATCTCAAGGTGTCCACTTAGCAAAGGTGTTTTTAATAGCTATTATTTAAAATTACATACTCTAATAACAGTGGAACTAATTGCAATGAAGATTGTTATCTTTCCTGTGGTAATTAACTAAAGATACACTTTGTTGGATGTTGTACCAATGGTACCTGAAGGGAAAGTTTTATTTAATGGTTAATTTTTACTGGGTATGTGCTGCTGGCCTCTCAGTATCCCTATCCCATTACTGTATACCCATAGTCTACTCTGTGGCCGTATTATAGACCCCATTTCAGTCACTTTGGAAAAAAAGTGATTTTTGCAATCCCAGCTTGGTCACTTTCTGTTTATTTATCTACCTAATAAAGTCTTTTGACATGGTCATCCTGAAATGAACTGACACTTGTGTTACAGTTAATTGTAAGATCAGGACAAGCTTTGTGAAATAAATGAGAATTGTCAGTTAAAATTCTTGAGTCATTTTTCTTTAAATATTGTAATCACCTTGCACCCTTTACAGTGGAACTCTGATATTTAAGAAGTTTTAAGGAACGAAGTGCAATGAAGATTGTTACTGTTTTAGCAGTGTCTTCGTTATATCAGGGTTTCAGCAAGGGTTTTGATAAATGAGGGGGAAAGGGATCGAACTGATGGTCTTTCAACCTGTCCTAGTTAAGTTGAATGAACTTCTGCAGCATTAGTCCACTTTAAAGAAAGGTTGAAAGCTAGTGTTAAGTGCAAATTGCAAGAAGCAATAAAGGGGTAGATGCCAGGGAAGAAAAGAGAGAAGGGTAGTACGTACGTACTGGCCTGGCACGCTCACTGTACAATATAAAATTTGCTCTATATTTGTCCATACAAATATGTTATTTGACAAAGTTTGAACACATTTGAACACATTTGTTTGCAGTTTGGCTCATTTATCTGTATTTGTCACAAAGCAAATGTTAAATTTGTCCTACATTTACACAGCATTTGTTCACATTTGTCTTAGATAGCAAATGCATCATTATCCTATTTGTCTTAAAGACAAATGTCTAATTTGCGCTTTGCACAAATGTGAACAAATATGACAAATTTTATATTTAGACCACATTTGTCCCACATTTATCTCATTTCAAATCTGTTTTTTCATCCAGTGTAAACAAAGGACTTGAGACCTCATCTTCGCCGGGGTATAAGCATACTAGAGAATGTCTTGTGTCTACCATGTCGAGTTTCCTCGCATTTTAAAAGAACTAGAGAGACTGTTCAGTTCCTCAGCGGGGATTGTATTTTTTTTCTTTCACGATTTTCGCCATCACCATCTTTATCACACAACTTCACGTCTGTTTTCAACATCTCTGTTGTATCGCTAGCATAAAGTTTGTATGCTGTATCTATAATAAATGTGGACATTTCATTGTTGTCCAGACGACTTTAAATTTGAGCGTCTCTCCCCAGTCTCGCTCTCTGTTTTCAGCCTCGTTCCAGACCTTTTGTTTGACTGCTCACGCTCAGTTGAATACGCAAAAATACGGAATGTTCTGCAGTCTTTTTGTAATTTGTACTCTACTGAGTGCACTCCGTAGTAGAAATAATAAAGTGTATTACAGTACAGTGCAGTGCAATGCAGTGCTTTACAGTATTGTAACAATGCACTGAGCAATGCAGTGCAGTACGTTAAAGTAAAGTACAGTACATACAGTACAGTACATTGCAGTGCAGCGTAGTGTAGTGTAGTACAGTACAGTTCTATACAGCACAGTCGTTTCATTAACTCTCCGAAAGTGCTTTTCAGAGTTAATTTACAATTAATGAATAAAAAGGAAATTAAAAATAACTTAATATATATTAGTTTATAGCATGTAAATATCTTAATTAAAAGATATAATTATTCGTATTTATATATGTATCCCACAACAATATCAAAACTTATCTTAGAGAAAAAATTCAAGATTAGACTCATAGTTTGGTAGATGATTCGCTTAAACTGGCTAGTGATTCACCGTTGGCTGACTACTAAATTTAAACTAGCCGTTTACGAATCGAACATATCCGTTTCAACTCGACTTTTCACACTCTACATCGATAGTCAAAATACACTACAGTAAAATTGTTGACTTCTTGAGCAAAAAAAAAAAGACAAAATAAAAAAAAAAGTTATTAATTTATTATTAAAAAAACTTATTATTATTATTATTATTATTATTTTATTATTATTCATTATTATTGTATTATTTAAAAAACGTTATTAATTTTCATTTGATTATAACCCTCACTCGTCACATGTTGGCTTCGTTTAATTTATCACTCAATTCAGTGTAGAAGAATTAGAGGTGATAACGACAAAATTATATAAAATCCTGGGTATATTCTAAGAGGCTAAAAGGTTAAAAGGAAAGAAACCGACGATGCTAATGAACTCATCTTCAGGCCAAAGGACCGCCCGCTAAGCGAACAATTATATATTTCGTTTTAATTATAATATTTTTTTTTTCTTAGGTGATTTTCGAAGTTAAAACAAGCCTAGTCTTGCTATTTAAAAATAAAATAGTTTGCACAGTGTCGTACAAGAAGTGTTCGCCAACTAAAATAGGGTCGGATTACCATGAAAGTGACGGGCAGCTTCTAATCATTATACAAGGATTTGAGTGTTTATTTATTGGCACATCCGCATCTCATGCTCCCACCGATGTAATTATCACCGATTTTTAAATGCCTTTGTCTTTTAAGACTGAAGAGGCATTTTTGTCACAATACTCAAGTTTCACATGTGCAGAATTATTGAAGGTTTCATTATCCAACAATAGGGACGCTGATTGAACGAAAACGTTTATTTTACATACAGAAACTGTTCCCATCGCAAATTTCCTGAAACATCTTACGTACAAAATCTCCAGTTTTGAAATTAATTTGAAGGATAGGATTCATCCTTTTGATAAACATAGTGCATTCTAATTTGACGTTTCTTAACATTGCTTTCTTGGTAAACAATTTATAGCAGCAGTAACCCAACTCGTATTTCTCTTCTTATTCAAATTAAGGTTTCTAAAAAAGGTTTATTACACGAGAAATAATACTAATTAAGACGTCTGCAATCGTAGTCAAATACAACGATCCCACTCAAATAGCCTATTGACCAACACGCCGTGTTTGCTTCTGGATCAATTATCACGTCGTTTTACAGAGGGTTTGAAGATGAAAATAGCTTTTTCATAATGAAGCCCATAACAGGTTTATTATTTGTATATCTGAGAATGCTTCTCAATGTTGAAGCAGAAAAAGGCACAAGAATCGAAAGACGTTCCACACTGGGAGCCATTATAACAAAGAAAGGGTTCATTTTAAAGGGTTTCTCTTTTAAGCGAGCGAGAGTATCGAGCTTTACCTCATGTGGCCAGGTTTGTCTTAAAGATCCGAGGTGCATTTCCACAAACTTTAACTTTCTAATTGAAGACACAAGGTATGGTTGTGAGTTAAACAACGCTGGTCTTCAAGAAGGCGTCACCTTGGTACTGCATAAAGGGGTGGTGTTTTCACAGTATGCTTACAAAAAGGTAATCTTACATACATTACATGTCCTTGATAACGAAGAAAAACATAAGAGAAAATAATAACGAAAATTTATATCGGTTTAAATCACACTTATTACATCTGAAGAAATGCATTCTAAGGCGCGCTGTAAAATTTCTATCTATTCGGTCATCTTAGGGCAACTTGAGCCTTTTCGAAATTACAAGGGCTTCGAGTATGATTTTCTCGAAATTTTAGATGCAATTTAACGTTTAACGAAAGGGATAATTTTTCTGATTCCTCTCTAAATGACATTTTCGAATCCGAAAAGTTAAGGTTTCGTTTTTCTGCGAAAATAGCCTTACCTGGGCAGTGAAATATGAAAAATTAAGCTTCAGAAAATCGTAAGGAATTTATTAGACAAGCTTCGAAAATTTTAAATGAATGGAACGGTCATCCAGAAATTTTTAGCCTTCCTCAAGCTATGAAAGTTCTTGGGAATTTTTGCTTCTCCGAACAGATATTTTACAAAACACAGTCGTTAGGTACCCCTGGTTAATGCGGACGACGGACACTTTTTCCTGTCCCAATCAACAGATTCTTATAGAAAGTCAACCTCGTTAATGCGGACACTTAATTATAAAGTGTGTACGTTTCTATTGTTTGCGCCCGCAAGAACGAAATGGTTAGGATGACGTAAAGACAGAAAATCCCGAAGGGACCGCTCAGGTAGATTTTGTGACATTTATTGTGCAGTCATACTTCGATACTCTTTTGCGTTACGCAGTAACATTCTGTGGAGCAGTTGTTTTGAAAGTTATGGACACTCGTTAAGCGCAGATGAGGTTATAAGGTGCGTTTAACTGTGTATATATAATCACTTGGAGAGTTTGCCAGACACGAGTTCACAAATCTTTGATTTATATTGGAAACCTTGCCAGACGCTCTTTCTCTCTCTTTGACCGGAATAAGACTCAGCCCCAAACAAGCAACACGAGTGAACAAAGGCTAGCTTATCACTGGCAGAACGATGGACGTTACAGAAATTCGCCGGCAATCAAATTCTGTGCTGACTTATTCCCTCCTCACAGATGTCCTTCCGTTATAAAGTTTCAAATAAGACTATATAGAATGCGTGAGCGTGAATCGATCAAACGTCCTTTTAATTTCTCAGGGTTATTAGTTTCCGGCGAATAAAATGAACTGAATGTAAAAAGTGAAAGAGAAATAGCGAAAAATTCAACTATTCTCGAAACTGAGAATGTTTTGATCAAAGCTGTCTAAATCGAGCTGAAACTGTGCATGGAACCTTGCGTTTCCTGTATTTCTCTCACCTATTGTATGGAATATGTGTGAAAATCTTCATTATGAATCGGTATATTTCAAAGAGCTACACAACGAGCAAGAATACTATTGACCGACAATATATACGGAACGGGGGCAGCTGTAGTGTCAACTATTACTAGTATAAGTAATGTATCAGGATGTGCGATGTTTGAGTGTTTCCGTGGATTTAATCCGTGGAATGACGGCTGTGTGAAACTGTTAGAGATGTCTAATTTGAAGATACTTGATAAATGTCTTTTTTTTTTAATTTCTTTAGAATTTTGCTTTAAGTAAAGGTGTTCTATTTATTTATTGTTTTTTTTACTAATTAACATGACCCGCTTAATACGGACACCCCGTTAATACGGACACTTTCGATGATCGCTTCAGTGTCCGTATTAAACGCCGCTTGTACGCCATTTTGAATTTCGAGCCGTTTGCTATCTAGGCAAAATTGAACTATTTTAATAGTTTATACAAAAACATGATACAATTACGCATTTTGATTGTTTGAAGGACTACAGCCTGTTGATATAAATTATTAAATTAAGGTAAAGTCAAACATTTAATTTCGTTTACTATTGTTTAACAGCACACGTTTCATGACATCGATGAAGAGCATACGGAAGGTACAATAAATCCTTTAACCTTTATTCTTGATATGTTTTTTTTCATAACTTTAAGTCCAATTTTTGCAATAGTAAACTGCCTGATAACATTCGATCAAGCAATATGTTTTATGTATTCTTGTATTTCTCCATCCTCACAGACCAGAGAGACCCAGCGGCAGATATAATAGTGCTGGCGAGGGAAAGAATAAACGTTTGGACTTCCCCTCGCCACCACTATATACCTCTGGGTCTCCGAGGATGTCTTTGGATAGCCGTGAACGGGAATTATTTTTATTCACTTTTGCCCAAGAAGCCTCATTTCCAGGCAAATATATCATCAAATCAATGGTTGCTCGCATTTTCCACTTTTCACTACGGCTGATTATGAAGAATTGCTCGAGAGAATAATAACAAATTTAATTTTAAACATAGTCCGCCGGGGAGCGTAGGGACGTTTTTCTTAACCCTTGACGAGGGATTTTGACAATTTAAAGCACCCTCTTTAATTTCTGGCAGGGTAGTTCGTGGTTTCAAATGCGGTATATGTTTTGAGTTGTGGCTATATTTTTAAGATTTGACAACAGTGAAAATGAATTTAACATTGCGATTATGCGATTATGGCAAGACGGTCAAAGGCTCTGCTACACCTAGATTTCGACTGTATCTCCCCTCAAACATTAACCAGAAGGGAGGAAGATTTTAAGGATAATTAGTGTTAATAATTAGTCGATACTAGAGCACCACCTTGTACTTTAGAATTTTAAGCTTTTATCGTTTTAGACTTGTAAGTAGTAAGTAGCTATATGATTTTAGCTGGTGTATATCCTATTTATTTTCTAATTCATTAGTTATCTTATTTAATTATTTAGACACGACCCCACAAGCGAAGCGTCGCTTTAAATACTTATCGTGTATAAATAACGATTATTGATTGATTGATTGATTGAACATGAAAGCGAGGCTGAAAGATGAGACTAAGCAAATTCTAAGAAATGCACTCCACAAGAAAACTGACATGCTCATGTATCTCCTTAGACTTCTCCAACATACTTACAACAAAAGCACCGCCGTTTCAATAAGGGGCGATATTATAAAACCCGTTGTTCTTCTGAGATGTAACACAATATTAATGGAACAACTAAAACAAAAAATTTTGTTTTTTTGTTTTTTCTTTGCCTGACAATGGATCCTTAAACAAGGAAAACACTCGTTATCATCCATAAAAGACTTTGAAGGTTGTATCATCCGTTGAACAAAGATATCGTGTCACATCTCAGAAGAAGTACGGTATTTATCATATCACTCCTTATTAAAACTACGGTGCTAATCTGTTGAAAGTATGTTGGAGAAGTCTTAGGAGATACACGAGCATGTTAGTTTTCTTGTGAAGTGCGTTTCTTGGAATGTATTTAGTCTCAACTTTCAGCCTCGCTTTCATGTTAAATTCATTTTCACTGTGAAACGTTTGAGCCCAGGAGTCATTTAAAAAGTAGTGTAGGTTGAGCTTGATCGTCCGGGTGAACATAGTGCTGAATAGGACTGTTAACGTTGTTGTTGATAATGACTGACGTTTCGACAACCTGTGCGGTAGTCATCTTCAGAGTCAAAGTGAGTTGTATCACGTCAGTTAACGGTTTTATACTCTGCTTATAGATCTGATTGGTCAATTACGGCGCGATATGTTATTGGTCGTCTGTCAGTTAAACCGTGATGTTATTATTTAATTGGCTATGAAGACTCGTAATGAGTAATTGGAGCGTTTCGATCCGTCTATTGTCACAGTTTAACAGTCGTCTATTGTTAGTCAAATTGTCAGTTCTCAAGTCGAGCGTTCTCTCGTAGTTAGTTTTGCTTGATCTCATCAATGAGTCGTCTCTACCGTGCTGGTAACTGTTGGTTACGATTCAATGGCGTTTGTTCTAAGTTAGTAAACCAGCTTTCTAAAGAAAGTCGTTGATAGTAGTCTTTAGAATACGCTATACATGTCGCAGAGTCCCAGTCGATTTGGTGTTCCGTCTGTAAATGGTGCTCAGCAATGTGATTGTTGACGTCACCATTTTCTCGCCGCTCGGTTGTGTTCGGTCAGTCGTTTGCTAAGGTTTTCTGCCGGTTTCACAAATGTAAGTAGCCTGCAGCATTTGATCTTGTATAGTCTGCTCCCTGTCTGTCATCCAATTTGTCTTCAGTAAGTCGTCGTAAAGTGGTTATCGGTTTGTGTGCAACACGTATATTGTAAGGTTGTAGTTTCAGAGGTGCCTCTGATGTACGGTATAGTCGCGGTTGTCGTAACAGAGCCAGAGTTGACGTTGGTCTGAGTGTTGGATTCAGTGTTACTGTGAGTGTTCCGTCTAACAAAGTCCGCGCTGCAATTGTTCTCACTAAAAACGTTGTTTAGGTAGTCAGTCTATATAGTAGCAGTCTTATCAGATGCCCAGTTGTACGATGACTGGTATATTAATCGGTCGGTATGACTGTGACCAGTCATCGTAGAACTCTTGCACGCAAACCGAACTGTTGTCACTGTTGTCATGTTTTAAAAATATAGCTTTAAATCAAAATGTATACCTCTGTTTGAAACCACGAACTACCTACACCCCAAAAAGGGTGCTTTAAACATCAAAGTCCATCGCCAAGCCTCTTCCGTCCTCTAAGTTGAGCAAAACGTCCCTAGCTCCAGGACTATATGATACAAACTTCTTTCCTTAGTTTCTTGCTTCGATAATCCCATTGGTGTAGCTGACTCTGAAATTATCCCTAACGACCAAATGACTGCTTCAACAAGGTATTCTGGTCATCCTGCTTATCACGGTAGACTTCATTACCCTAACAGTGCCTGGTGTGCAAAAGACAGTGCCGAAGATGAAGATTGGCTTCAAATTGATCTGGGAACCACATATGAAATATGTGGGGCTGCTACCCAAGGAACTGGAAACCAGAAATACAACGAATACGTAACGAAATTCAAATTGTCTTACTCCTCTGATGGAAGCAGCTGGACTATGTATACTGGTACTGGAGGCTCAGAAACGGTAGGAAGCCAGAAAGTTATATAAATTGCAAAAATATGGCAAAATTTCGAAGCTTTGCAAAAACGTTGCCATATCAGTTGTCTTACGATTTGTTTTGCTTCCGTTCAAAAAAGATACAGATTGCCAAATGTTGTTTGCTTCCTGATTTCTTTTTAAGGTACATCTTTTTTATAAACAAAAAATTCAAGAGAGGGTATCTGCATAAGTTTCACCATATTCGGCCTCTTTTTCGAGCAAAGTAAATCAATATGAATATATAAATGTACAGCATCTATTTAAAGCTGTCATTTTTTTATACAATTTAACGGACCAAATCAAAACAAGAACGGCTTGGAAACTAAAATTTCGAGGACGTTTGTGGACTTTTTACATTTAGGGCATGAATTCTTCTTCATTTCAGGCCATGGAACCTAAAAATGAGCCTAGCTAGCTGTAAAAAGGGGCAATACGGAGGCAATACGTCCTAGCCGGCATGATCACATGCTGTTTAGGGAAAATTCCCTCATCCATGTCAGGAAATTCTGTATTTTAAAGCCTCGCCTAGGGCATGACTCAGCAATTGAGGACATTTCTGCTACGTTTTCAATGTTGGTTAGCATGCAAGGATTTTTCCCATGCCTATCGTCAATGATTTGCTAATTGGTAATAGAGGGGGTGGCCCCAGAGTGGTTTTGCATTGAAATTGGCATGCAACAGAATTTCGCATGCCTTGTAAGCATAATTTAAGGTTCTGTGACCTTCTCACCCAGGCCGCGAGAAGCCTAGGTTCTAGTATTAAGTAATTGATACCCAGCAAAATCTCCGGCATGCCGGGCATGCCAAATTTTCTGACATGCCCGGCATGCCAAATTCTCTGGCATGCCGGGCGTGCCATGGTCTGGGTCATGCCGGGCATGCCAAAATCGGTCTCTGGCATGGGGCTCAGGTTATAATTCCTTGAATCTACAGATATTTTAAGCTTGGCTAAAAGAAAAAAAAACTAAACAGATCACAGTGCTTATCTTTTCATGTACGGTTACACGATGACGTCATTGCTAGTCCTTTCATTTTCATAGATTTGGTTGTCCCAGCGAAGTTTAAATAACAAAAGCTCTAATTTTCACAAGAAAGTAAAACCCTGAGGGATTCTGCTGTAGTAATAAAACAGCGTCATCGTGGAGATGACCTGTTGGGGGATTGTAAAAACTCCTCACCCCTTTTAATGAGTCTTTAATAGGATTCCCATTTCACATTGCGAATAAAACGGAATTGACTGAAATCAGTAAAAAGAGACACAGAGACTATTTTCATTGTATAATAAAATGCATCTATTTCCATGAAAGCTTTTAAAAATACAAGGTTATAGAGTATCTTTCAAAGTTCATTACAAACTGAGCTAAGCCCCAAAATCACTGTTCATTATTCAGTAAATTATGATGTTTGACAATGCAATGTGCTTGAATATAACGTTGTAATTACAAATCTCTCTAACACAATTTTCCCTACGTTAGGAAAGCTGTTTTTATCTTGTTTCACATTTTGATAAGGAGTCTGAGTTCCTCTTTATTGTTTTGTAGGCTTGCCAGGGATTAATGTTTTTGTGTCATTACCAGTGTCTGTGTTCTTTGTTTTTAACTCAAAGTAAGTCAGTAATAACTGACAGTATCAAAGAATTGCTCTCTAGAAAAGTAATTATCTCCTCGTCATGTCTGGAAGTTACCTGTAACAAAAAAGAAATGGAATGTTAACACATGCAAGGGCAATATGAAAAAAAGAAATAGAACATGTAGAGCTCAGCTTCTCTTAACATATTTTCATACTGGCTTGTTGAGTCTGTTAAAGGTCGCAACTAATTGTCTGAGGCTGATTTCACAAGAGTGTGCAATTGAGATAAAATGATGGTAAATAAAGTGAAAGAAACGTGCATGGTTTCACATTAGCCAATTTACAATGCGTTGTTCGATGATGTTTACACGCTTTTCTACTGCGAAATAAACCTTTGCCTGTGGATTTGCAAGCCAAGATTATACCGAGTTTGACTGACACTTAATTGAACAACAGTTTCCTTTTTAAGCAGGTAAGGTGTAGACCCATATAAAGCCGGAATATGTAAAGGAAACTCAGCGAAAACTTTTTCGCGTCTTTTTGTGGCGATATTCTCTCACGGCCCGTCAACTGATTAGGGGTTGTGAAGAAAAAATAAATTAGGACCAAAGCTTAAAGCCTGTCCGGTTACATCATTTCGTATGTTACGTAGAGTTCTAATAAACAGGTCATAAAATAGGATTTAACGAGAGCGAATTTGTTTCTCAATCGGTGTATAAAAAAGTGAAGCTATCTAATGAGAAGTTTATAGAGTATCAAAATTATTAAATTAAAAGCTCATATAATTAGGAAAATTCATGTACGAAAACAATGCTAGTGACATTAAATTGATCAGATAAAATTCTCAGAAAATATGTCGAATAAAAGCCTCATTGTTTGCTTTTGTTTTTGCGTAAAGGTAAATTTTTCGGCCCACAAAGCAAAGTTGAAAAAGCGACTAAATCTTAGTTTTTTACATTGAACATGTTTATTAGCCTAGTTTTCGTCCGTTTTAAAAGCTTTATAACCCAATCATAATTTTCTGGTTAAAATAGTACAAAATCATTTCAAAAACCATGTTCATTTAAAGTAGAGCCGGCAAACGTGAACATTTTGTAATTCAAAAGTCGGACCCAGCCAGGTTTTTTAAGCTTAGAATTATTTGCATTTTAGCGCCCTATAAATTTAACGGAATCGCCTCTCAGAGGCTTACTGTAGCAAAGCATTTTGTAGTACACTCGTAGACAAGCAATGTAAGCCTTAAGTCTTTGCTTGGATGAGATGTCCAAAAGAAAAATTAGTTTTGTGGACCTAAACGCACATTCACCGAGACTGCATGCTTATAAATATTGAGTTGTTCACAACTTTGCATTGACACCTGCAGCATGTTCATTGTTTTAAAGCGAAATCCAAATCTTATTTTGGCATTTGATTTACGGATATTTTATTTTGTCTCCAAAAGTGATTGTAATATCCGTTTGATTGTCTTTCAAACAACAGTCAAACTATGCAGCAAAATAAGTACCTTTACCAGTACAGTGAAAAAATATGTCCGTAGGTGACAAAAATAATTATACTCGAGCTATAAAATTAGATCAGACTTTTTTTATCTTTGGCGTCTTATTTTTGAAGTTTTCTCTAGTCTTCTTAAAGCGGAAGAAGATTACAAGACATACAAACAGAAACAATCCGAAGTGAACGAGTTGACAACCACTTATGCCGGAGTTCTTAGGCATGCTCAACAGCAAGATAAACTGAATGCCAAAAGGCTAATTCACGGGATTTGTTCGATATTCAGGCTTTTTCGTTACCAAATTAATACTAAATTTGTACTTACAGTCTCTAGCAGAATCCATTTCTTGTCCAGCATTCACCAACATCTCAACCATGCACCGCAGAAAAAAAAAAAGACAAACAAGTGCGAAGAGACATGACGACATCGTGACGCCACAACTGCCACGCTACAACAAACTAGATTCATCGTCATCCGAAAACACGGAAATTTGGTCGATTTCGTGCGTGCTCGGGGTATCTTCGGATGACGCAGATGACGTTGCTCAAAGGACTATCGTCAGCAAGGAGTAAAACAGTTTGCGAGATTCGCATAGCCGACAAGGAGCGCACTGAAAAACTAAGCAAAATGTCTCTGAGAAGGCAGTCCAAATTCACCAAAGCAGAACGTCTTTGCAGTATTAACGTCGTACTCTCGTACTGACTTGAACGACCTGGTAAGCCTAATTTTCACCAGTCTTTTAATGCTGTTGACCGGGAAACTTTCTGACGCGATAAAATTTAAGCATGGATAAGTTTATACTGAGAAGATTTGTTATCTTATTGTTTAAGACGCTTTTCCGCGATCAAATTTAAATCTGGACCCAGAAATGTCAATATCGGTTTGAAATAAAAGGATTAATCTTTGATTGCAAGTTATGTATTCTATTTTATGCATGAATAATGTTGTTTCGTTGAACTTTTTATTCATAAATCCAGGCTTCTGTCTTCAGTTTTGCCAGTCGATCCCGTGACACACATTGTGACAAACATGACTTTTTTGTTATAATCTGCATTTATTGCCAGGCATGAAACCTGTAACTTTAAGCTCCCTAAGATATATTTGGCGATTATATGTGATTCTCAGGATATGATGCTGAAGCGAACATCAAAATCAGTCTCGCTGGGCATGCCAATTTCTTGCCTGTCATGCCGGGCATGCCAAACCAAGTGGCTTCACGATCGGCATGCCCGGCATGTCAAACCAGAGGAGCAAAAACTGGGAATGAATTATCAACCCGGTGAGAGATCTGGGACCTAAGTTTAGCTGGGTCAATTTTGGGCTGCGCGGGCATGAACCCATTTTTTCCATGCCTATGAGATGTTATTTCTAAGTACCAATGTTCCCTTGAATTTTGTCAAGCCTAAATATATAAAATTTTCCCTCTCTCATTAATCCTCAGACTGGATGCGATTTTTACGCTCGCTAGGCATGTTCAACTGAAAATCATGCCCATACCCTTATTCAAAACAAAATGCTATCAAATTTTAGTTTCCAAGCCGTTCAAGGGCCCGCTGGATTTTATTTCAGTTAGAGTTTTAAGTGAACTAAGTAGTTAGCGAAACTTGGCCACCCAACGCCATATAAGTGGCTGCAATATCGTGTTTTTAAACACGATATTGCACTAAAATGCTGCAAAACGGGCTTCTTAGATATACGATCACTTACTTCTCGCAACCTCGAGCTTTCGTTGCATCTATACAATGCTACACCACTTCTCCGTACACTATCTTAAAATTCATGCTATATACTCGTTAACTGCAGGATAAACCCTTTCACAAGGTATTAACCACCACGACAGAAAAGGCCAAAATTACACACAATAATACTCATCATTTCCAGCATCAAGGCAGGAATTATAGGAATTGGAACTATCTTCCATCTAACATTTATTATCAGAAAAATGAGA